TATTGTTATTATACTGATTTGTTAGAAATGATATTATTGCTTGTTTTGTAGAAGGTATGCTATATTACTTATTTTTGTTGCTAGCTGAAATTTGAGAAGAAACAGTACATCTTTTTTTTATTTTATAAGTGGCATTTAGGTTAGTATGATGTTGCTGCTATCTAGTAGGATATTTGTAATTACTGCTCATTATGTCTGATGTTTTTACTTTGTAACTTTGCATTACCAATAGCCTTGATAGCCTTAGTTTGACTTCTCGATTGAAAGTATTAAATTTTCTCTTTTTACTTTTGCCTTGTATAATTAAAATGTTTGTATCTTTGCTTTGTATCTTATATAAGTAGTTTTTTGCCCAAAGTAGGCTTTTTTATTTCATTTTCTTCTATTGTATTCAGTATTTTTCTATTTTTTGTTTTTTTGCTTTTGCTAATTTTTATATTTTGAGATTTGCAAAAGAGAGTTTTTTCTATAATTTTATTACTAAGTAAATTGTATATTAATTTCTATTCTTTTTAAATAATATTTATTAAAAAGATTTTCTTTGGTCTAGTTTTTAAAATATAAATATATAGCTTTTTTGATTTTATTTTTGTCAGTAATTATTTTATTAAATAATATAATTTTTTCAAAATTAACTAATTCTGTTTTTCTTTTGAGAATACTATTTAGTATATGATTAGTATTGTCTTTGAAGTCTAAATATTTTCAACTTGTATAAAACTTGATTTATTTACTTTATTTTTGCTTTTTTTTAAAGTTTTATGTTTGTCATATTGTGTGCTTATGTTGTTATTTGTATTATAAGATTGAATAAAAAAAGATTCATTATGCTTATATAATTAGTAAGATGTTTATTTTTGCAAGAATAACTAACTTTGATAGATAGTAATTTGCTCTAAATATATTATTTAAGAAGTTATTTAAAAGATAATATAAATATTTGTTAATATTTTTCAGAGCAGAATGCAATTTAGTTGCTTTTAATAAAAGTAAAAAAAAGGGTTTAAAAGTAGTAAAATATATGAAATATATTTATTTTTTTTTAATTTTTGCTATCTAGGAGTTTCAGATTTTGTTTATATTATTTTTATTTGTATTTGTATTTAATATTAGATTATTTTGTATATTAAAGCAGATATTAAATGAACCTTAAAGTTTTTTTTTAATTTTATAATATTATTTTCTTAAACAGATATTTTTTTTTCTTTTTGTTTTTAGAGTTTTTTATAATAAAAAGTTTGTATATTAGGTTGTATATAAAATATAATGATTTTTGTTCAAGATGTAAGAATTATCAATTAAAAATAAAGATTTGAATACTAGTAATATGTCTAAAGAAATCCAAAAATTATTAATTTGACTAATAGTAGTTGAGCTATACTATATAAGTATTTGAATATTATAAAAAGCTAAAAAAACATGTTAAATTAGTAGTATTTAGACTTATAAATATTAAAGAATGTTTGTTTCTAAATTGATTCACATTAAAATTGTCTAGTATAATTAGATGCCAATTTTTAGCTCTAGATTCTATAATTTAGTTAAGTAATTAAGATGAGATATATTTTAGAAAAGACAAATAATTTGAAGAAAGATAGATTGAAATAATATAAGATATCTTGTTAAAAAAGAAAAAGAAGTTAAAGCATATAGCTATTTTATAAAAGATGCAGATTTTGTAAATGTATAGTTGTAAGTAATTACAAACTATTAAGGCAGTTTTCAAACTAGTTTTATATTAGTTTGATTTATACGTATGATACAAAGTTTGAGATATAGATTTTATATAAAGAGTTAATTAATAATTTTATTAATAAGTTTTTTAACTTAGTTTTAGTAAAAGAGATTACATTTAATATAGTATTAGATTTAGGTTTGTATTTTAGTATATTATTAATGCCTCTAAAGTTGTAAATAATAAAGTTGATTTTTTCATTTATATTAAATTTATATAAGTTTATTTTATTTTTTATACTGAAAGCAGAATATTTGTATAAGAATATATGCTTATCTTTTAAATTGTAATATAAACAAATTTGATTGTATTAATTTTTTTAAAATTAATTTTTATAATAAAATTTTTAATAATAAATTTTAGCAATATACTTTCTAAACAAAAAATATTTTTAAAAATCTACTTTATAAACTTTGTTAAGAAAGTTTTTTAATTTTATTAAAAAACTTTTAAGCAATTAAAGTTTAAAGATTATGTAATGTTAAAGTTTACTATTAAAATATTGTTCAAGTTTTTTAAAAGTTTATATTTCTGAAGCTAAAAAAAAATTTTGCTTTTAAGACAAATATTAATTTATATATATAAATTATTAAACTTGTAATAATTAAAATTATAATTTTTAATATAAACTAAAAAGTTGTATTAAAAACTATAGGTTTAAAATTAATATTTAAAAAGTTTATCATAGATAAACTAAAAAAATATTTTATTAAAAATTTTTTTTTAAATTACACATTTTTGGTCTATAAGTAACCTATTTTTTTTCCTTATAATTTAAAAATAAATACTGCAAAAAAGTAATTCTTATTTTTAAATATTATTATATCAAATTTTATTTAAATATTTTATTATTTTAAAAAAATAGATCAAAGCTAAAAAAATATAAAAATATAGTCAAATTTGCCTATTTTAGTCTATGATTTAAGAAATAATATAAACAGACTATTTATATTAGATATCAAAAAAAAATATATAACTAGTTGTATTCTTTAATATAAAAATTTTTGAAATTATTATATTCTAATACCAAATAAAAAATTTTTAATTTTAAAAAGACTAAGTTTAAATCAAAAAAATTTTTATAAACAGTTAAATTGCAATATATACATATGTATATATGTATATATTAAGTAATAACTTTATTTATCAAATATGCTAAAAACATATTAAATTTGATTGATTATTTTTAATAAAATCATAAGATAATAATAATTTTTAATGAAATCATATAATAATATTTAGTAATTCTAATTTAAGAATTAATTAATTTAGAATATAGTGATCTAGTAAAGTAATTAGATTGTTAACCTCTCAAGTAGTAGATTGGTTGATCAAATTCTATTGATAGTAAAAATTTGAATAATCACCTATGTAATATTTGTATTATGATAACTGTTACTATTGATTGGGTTAGAATATCTATAATAGCAGTTATATCAGCATGACTAGCAAGTTATAAGGCATTTATACAATGTTAGAGTTATATAGAAGAATGCAAACTAACAAATCAGATAATGTAAACATTAGATAAGTTTTTGTAGCTATTTAAATTCATTAAAATTAGATAATAAGAAGTCTATTTGGGAAAACCTAAATAGAAAGGTAGCTAGATCTTTGATAACTCTACTGTAAAGACTAATTTGGAGAAATAGATATCAAAGTTGTAATAGTCAGACAGGTAAAAATCTCTGAGTTGGAAGTATCAAAAATATTACCAATTAAACCACTAGAATAAACTGAAAGAAAAGGATATCAGGTCAATCTAATATAGCAATAAACTGATTATAATCTTATATGAACTATTTGAATTGGAAATTTGGTAAAAAAACAAGTAAAAAGACAGAAGTATACTAAAATACTAGAGTTATGTTGTGAAATAGATGTTGGAATCTAAGTAAACTTTACAAGAGTATAGTGATTTAATAATTAAACTCTAACCACAAATGTTGGTTCTACTATAGCAATACCTAGATCAATTATAAAAATGTATACAGAAGGCTCTAGAGGGTTTACTTTGAAAATAAATTAGTTCTAAGATTGAGATGATGATCTAAATATCTGAGTATGACCCAATGAGTTAATACAAATTACAGATTCAGAGGATTTAATATAAAACATCCAAGCAGGGGTGTTAAATACAGTAATTGATAAGAAACCTTTGGATGAACTCCTTAAATAGATAATATAGAAGAGTTATATGTGTAGCTAATTGTACTCTTTTCTGAAGTGGTTCATAGAATCACATTACCAATAAGTCATTAATAAAAGTCAAAAGACCAAAGAGGTCACCTTAACACCAAAAAAAAAAGAATTGATTAATTAATTGATTATAAATTATAAGAATTATTTGATATTCAAGTTACAACACATATCAAGTAATAACTTTATTTAATAAAAACATGTTAAAAATAAATAAAATTTAATTGATCATTTTAAATACTGTAACAAGTTTTAATCAATATCTTTAAGAAATAATTGTTATAAAAAATAATTAATATTAAATACAAGTTTTTAGTAAAATAAGACAATAAACTAATTACAAATAAATGGAATAATATGATATAATAAACTTAAGCAGAATTGAAGCTTTTTGAAGATCACACTTTGCAATTTGTGAATATTCCTTTAAATATAATGTATCAACAGTCTATAATAATATTGACATCATATTAATATCAGAAGTATATAATAATAATGATAGTCTGTAATAATATTGACAGTCTATAGTAAGTATTAGCAATCATATTAAAATTGGCAGTCTATAATGATATCGACAATTTAGGCACATAGCATCTTGAAACGCCGTGACGAAAATATTAAAAATTTCGACATACCGACTGTCGTAAATCATCCATAATTTAGACATCCATGTATAGACCAATTACCTATCTATACCATTTTATTGATAAGATTTTAAAATTCCACATTGTCGCATTAATTGTAGATAAATACTGCAATAGGTAATACAATGAGGAAATGCCGCAATTCAGCAATTTTGACGTTAACTGTAGTATGGACTGGGCTGGAAATGGAATGTACCGTATTGAGCTAATAGATAGTTATTCTCTTCCATCAAATAAGGAAGTTTGTGCATTATTAAAGGTGCCTTTTGTTATTAATAATTGATTTACTTTAAATCATATTTTGCCTTTGTATAAATATTGTCACAATCGAAGCTGGAAATTAGGGACCTTGATTTAAAATTATAAACCCTAGCAAAATCCACCTCTTTATTATTAAAATTGAAAAAAATATATATGGTTCATTATTCACCAAATTTTTGTAAATTAATCAGAACATCTATCCCACTTAATCTGTTAGCTAATAACATGATAAATTCAGATATACTATTATCAGGTGATGAATGCTTTTCTGTAAATAAAACAACTAACAATACATGATCATCAATTCGAATAAAATAGTAAGCACAACCCGTATTCTTATCAAAAGAATGTATTGGAAAACTTCTTGTAAAAGGTGTCTGTTTCTTTTCATCTTTTTCTTGAATGAATGATATTATATTTTGCCAATGTTCTTTTGGCTGCTCCTAATATAAAGTATGATTGACATAATTAATCAACAATCTTGTTAATATTAGAAAACAAACAAATATATAAGTCACCTCTGGAAAGGAGTATATGCAAGGAAAAGAATCTATTCCGGTTGGTTTTTCACATGGCGTAGTAGTACAAGAATACCCATCTTGACAGAATGGTACATCATCAGTAATTTCATACAACAAAGCTATACTATGTGCACCTGATCGACCTCGAAAACTTCGTATTCTAGGTTTAACCGAACAAAATTAAATACATAAAAAAACTACACGGTAAATATGAATAAATTAAAATAACCATATTTACAATCCCTGGTAATTATAATCGTCAGAAAATTTTCTCCATAATGTCTTAGAATCACCCCCAATTTTTTTTTCTCTTTCTAAAAGAATATTCATGAAATATAATGTCATTTTGGCGGTGAGATTAGATAGAAATTTGTCAAGCCATTGCATATTATTAGGTGACACATTGCCACGTTTGATATTTCTTGCTTGTCTCTACAAGGATTAGTTAATGTATGTATAGAATTAAAACGAAAGTCTTATAGATTGATTTGTTAATAATATGTCCAATAACTTACTTCTTGACCAGTAAAGAAATTTTGGATAGCAACGAATGGACCAACGGGTTCTTCAATTTCATTTGATTTCTAATTTATAAGTAATTATATAATGGTATCATGATTGAAAATTTCAAATGTTAAGGGGGATTACCTCAGGGTAAGTTTGATTTGAGCAAATTCCTCTCCAAGAAGAAAGTAGAGTTTTTGCGGTATAAAGAAAAATTGACGAATCTTTAAAATTATATGAGGTGATAGTCTTACGCGCCATAAAAAGGTATTTTAAAATCATTAATTCTTTTCTATTTTTTGAATTTATTTTTTATTTTTTATATAAAGATGTAATTATATTCAAAATAAGAAAGAAATTAATTATTGAGAAATAAGACTTACTCTGCACCAATAGTCAAAGGGCTTAAATCTTCACACGATTTTTTTTCAGTAGCTTTGGTTATGACAGATTCAATTTCACGAATAAGATATTCAGAGTTAATATCCGAAAAGTAATTTGGTATAGCACGATATCTAAAGGAAAGTAACAGTTAACATATAAACTAATAATTAATACCAGAAATTATAATCAAACTTTAATGTATAAAACTTACATCGCTATCTGAGCCTTTCTAACCATTATAAAATTTATTAAGCTCTGAAATAATTTATTAAGATACTCTAAATCGATTGGATCTCCGTTGCTACTAGAATTGGCTAAAAGTGAAGACCTAATCAGATTCATTATTGAATTTGCAAGGTCAGTATTTGAATACTTTTTTAGTATTCAAATGATTGATGAATCGGTAAATTCATTGAATAATCAAGAGATCTAAAGTAACGATACGCAACACGAATTCGGATCAAACTTACGTCCTCTCTACGGAAAAATTTTGTTTTCAGATATTCTAATGAGGTATAAGATTGTTCACATCTGGTAATGGCTAAAAGGATTGGACCGATTGTGGAATTTGTCTAATATTCAGGAATTAAATAAATAATAAATAAATAAATACATATCACTTTAAATTCGTAAACGCGTGTATATAAGGGTATACTGTTTGCCACTACATACAGTATCCCCCATGATAATACACCTTTGATTAAGACTAGTGATGCCGTAGAATCGCCCAATGCTGTAACTACAGTAGTTACGCATAAGCTTCGGCTAGTTACGGCTTAAGCCGTAACATCATTGGGACTATTCTACGGCATCATTAATTAAGACTTCAGTATTATTCACCGCCCACCTGGCTTAGTTCTTGAATAATACCCAGGGGTGTCACTATATTAGTTTACATGATATATTCCCCAAATATAGTATCCCATTCTTCACATAATACCCACTGGTAGTATTCATTTTAAAAATGATCTTGAATAAGACCTTTGGTATTGTATCCAGTGGCAAACGGTAATAGCTCGAAAGTATTATATCAAGTTTCACGATGAACGAAATTTTTTAACTTGATTAATCGAGATAAATCCCAGGAAATTTTATTTAACAAGATTTCCGGATTTTTTTTTTTCTTCTATATGAAAATTTACATTCTTAATATTCTTAATAAAAAAGAATTTTCCATATAATGAATTAAATAGAACATATCAAACTTAAACATTTGATTTTATATTTTTTTTTTATTAATAAGAATGCAAACATTCATTCAAATATTGATGTACGCTGCAATACTTTCGACCCGATACCGTATCTAAATTCAAAATTTCGTAAATGGACAGAGATTTTACTTTTGGAATTTTACTGGCAATCTTATTTGCTGCATTATAATCGAAGCAGCCAAGAGCTTGAAAATACTCTTTCATTGTTTAGATATAAAAATTCACAAGAGCATGTTTTTAAATGTTTATTTAAAATTCCATCAACCAATAGTACGTAGCAAATTCAGATCACAAAAAATTGGATAATCACCACGTGATAAATTGTGTAACGATAACGAAGTAGAATAATCTACAGCAGAGACCGTTAATGTTACACGTATATTAAAACTGGTGAGGGATTATATCCATCACAATTGAATCCAACATAAATAATTTAATTTGTAATTGATCACAGGCGAGAGGGATTCACTTTGGATCGGGACTGTCTTTGCTGTAAGAATAATCTTGGCCTGAATTTAGGATTGCTAATTTTAAACACATGACATTAGTTTCTGAGATTAAATTTTCGGTGTACAATTCGGAAAATCAAATGATGCGTAAATTTATAAGTTCTGAACAAGAATGGGAAAAGACTATTGATATAAGATTAAATAAAAAGGTATAAAGAATAATAAGCAAGAGTAGAAATGCAAAATGCTTCAAAAAAATCATGTATGACATGAAAGTTTCGATCAAATTTTCGGATCGAAATGCCAGCCAACTCTATATAATTTTGGTCAAATCACAGAATCCACCCTTTATCATACAGCAGAGACCGTTAATGTTACACGTATACTAAAAATGATGAGGGATTATATCCATCACAATTGAATCCAACATAAATAATATAATTTGTGATTGATCACAGGCGCGAGGGATCCACTTTGGATCTCTGCTGTACCTTTATCATGGATGGAATTGCATTTTATCGTCCCTGAAGTAGACATTTGTCCTAATGATAATGTTGCCTAATTTTTAAACCCGTGCCCTAACGTATATATAGTATATAAGTTGCATAACAATAAATAAAGTAAATATCTTTGTTATATGTATAATGCAAGATATAAATTATTTTTAAATGCATATATATATATATTAAAGAAAATTTTATTATATATTTAAACATCGATTGTTTAAACAAAACTTTGATGTAGGCTCATGTGTTGTCACAAAAATTTCTAAGCATATTTAGCTAAAAGATATTAACACATACATCATTATGTAGCAGGCTAGTATTTTCTTATAACATCTCACGCAAGGGCACATTGATCAACAAAATCAAGTATGACCTACGTCTATTGACACAGCATTATCAACACATAACACATAGTGCTGAGTCTGATAGTACGCTAGACCAACTTGTATATTAATTATCATAAAAACTTATTAATCAATAGCAATAGAGTTGATGAACTGATTTGCATCTCTACATATAGATCCCAGATCCCAAAAAAAATTTGAGAACATGTGGCTTACGTCTAAATTAGAATCACATAAAGTATTAGCAATGAAATTATGTAAATTTTTAATAATATTTCATGTACAATGTGAGGCCTACTCTATCGTAATTTTATTCACAACGTTAATGAACACAATGATAATGAATGTAAGAGGTTTGGGAAATAGTACTAAATTAACTAAATTAATTAAATAGTTGAACTTAAATGCAATTATTAAATTGTTGAACTTAGATGTAATTAACGTTAATATGCTGATTTAAATTAAATAAAATTATTCGTCGTCATCAGCTCTCGTCGCAAACTTTCCAATCGTTTCGATTTTATTTTCTGCATCATCTAATTCTCTTTCTTCTTTTAGGTCTTCCATAAAACTAACATCGCAGAAAAATTGTTTTAAGAATTGTTCTAGATAATCTATACGCTCCGTTAAAGTTTCATTTGTACGTGGTCGTTCGATCAATGGAATTGCTTTTGGATATTCTTTTTTATGAAGTTCTTGCTTTACGCGACGACGCAAAAAGAAGCTTTGACAGAGACCCCACGGATGGACCGGTGCAAATCCTATTATAAAAATTTTGTTTAAAGGATTGCTATCATAATTACTGTAATAAGTGAACTTTGTAAAAGTTATAACTTACCGAAACATAATATATATATTCCGATAAGAAGACCATAGAATCCAGCAAGTAAACTAAGGGAATCCATAATCTACAGTTTTCAGTTCATATATAATTAATTATCATAGATTACAGAAACGTGTGAAATAATAATATAGCATAATACATAAAACTTACTCGATGTGTTCTATTTCAGGTAAAATTGACAAATAAAAGATAAATGTAAGTGATTTTTACACAAGACAACCCCAAAATTTCAGGTCATCTTGGACCGGTATTTACCAATTGATCATTTCTATAGTAAAATTGTTATGCAATCATTTTTTTAAAAAAATGATCTTGAATAAATTTATTGATATCGGTCCAGTTACGACCTGGAATCTTGGGATGATTTATGATAAATGATGTGTACATCAATGGTAACAAGATACTAACTTTCCTTCCGTTTCTACATTTTGAAACCAATTCATTGTTCCAACAAATAAATTAGCATAGAATTGTTGACCGGTAATAGTCTGATTAGAAGCTAAAGCAGCAGTTCCAGGATTTGTTACGGATTCTAATTAATTATGTCAGATTATTAAAAATATTCATATATATATATATAATTTCAAATGATAATATTTTTAGAAAGCCTACCATATTTAGTAGTAATATATTTCTCTTCAAAATGGCTAGGTGGAATACCTAATATAGTCCAAAAATTTGAAACTTCTTTTCTTCTAATATGCCTATTCATAAACATCCAATTCATCTTTTTAAAAAATAAAAAATTAGCATTGAAACTTTACCACAAAAGCCCAACTTCATAAAAAATTTTGCTCGCATACTTGTTGAAATCCAATAACGTGTAGATTCAAATCATCAAGCGATTGGAAAAATTCTCCATCTATCTTATACGCCGATTCATTGACGCTCAATGGAACCGTAATGGGATTAAATTCTGAATCAAAAGCTTTTATCAACATCCCTTTATCATTATCCCGAACATATCTTGGATCATCAATATATATTGTAAAGTACATCGCATATCGTTTCTCTTTCTGATTAAACATAAGTCCTTCTGTTGCTGTAAAGTATCCATGCCAACGATCATCTGAGGTTGAATTATTACATGATGGTTGAAGGACATAAGGTGAACATTCTTCGGGTGTCGATTCACTGCCATCTAAATCGAAGGCATAACAATTAAATGAAATAAATGATGTGATAGATCATGTGTTAAAATCTAAAGGGATAATAACATGTGTTAAAACCTGAAGGGATAAATATTTACCAGTAAATCGAAACACACAAGAAATATTAAAATGATAATTAAATGTAAGTTCCAAATCTAAATTAAAAAAATTTTTTTTATGTGGTGATCGGATTTTTCGTTCATGGTATACATGGCATACATTGCATACAAGATCAATTCACCAACCTGGAATAGGAATTATTGGCGATGGTTCCAAATTACTTGTAATAACACCACCATCAGATACCAAGAAAATCGTTAAAATGGCAAAATATCCTGCGAGCAAAGCTATAATAATCAATAATACTATTCCTCTAGCTGCTATTAAAAATGTAGGTTCCGTCCTTCGATATCTTCCGAAAACATCTTTTGTTTCATGTAAAGCCTCCATTTTTTTTTTTGTTTTTACAAAGATGCTATATATGATATAAATATATTCACTTAGAGCTTATATGAGATGCCTCCTCGTAAAAAAAAACAACGACAAAGCGTTAAGAAAATTTCCCAAAGCCTCAGGAGAAAAAATTTAAAAGCATTGCATGCGGCGCATTAATACTGCAATTTGCAGCAGTTCAACGCAATAAGGAGATCAAATTATTTTAAATTCCATTTTTGACAGTTCACAGAGCTGCTACACAGAATTGTATATTACACCAATGACAAATATTTTCAAGATACCTTTATTGTTAGATATTATTAAAGCAAGTTATCTTGGCATCGTATATGGAAAGCTCATTGTAAATATATATTATATGAATCTATTTTGTTTGTGTTACCTGTCGCAATTACGCTAATCACCGTATTTAGGCATCTCAAATATCATGCTAAATTATTTCCCATATATAATCAAATTTCGCCTCTTTGCATTAGGATCATATGAGTTGTGTTCAATTTTTTCAAAAAAGTTAACTAATCCAAAATTAGCTTAAGAACATTTATTACGTACTTAAAAAACAAATTTTGTTATCTTAATAAATTTTGCAGTATAATTCTTTAAGTTTGTATTTTCTTATACTTTATTATAGACTTTATAATATAAAAATCCATTTTTCGCCAACCTTTTTTTTTTGCCAATTTGGTCCCTTTTCTCAGAACAAAGAAAGAACGTTGCATTTAAAGTACATTTTTGAGGTTTAACCGTATAAGGCTAATTCACAATTGTATCCGATCAAGTTGCGGACGTACGTAAATAGAAATTTTATAGTTAGTGATCATAGAAAGACATCTGTTGAAACTTTCATCTTATGAATTTTTTATACAATATTAACCGAAAATGATTATAGCCAGCGCTTCGTTTATTCTTTTATTTAATAATCACTATGTAGATAACTCTAATTGGTTTATGAAAATTACTTTCCGGCACGATGCACAAGTTCCATTTCTATATAATTAGAAAAAAAAATTAGATTGGCGGATCAAACAAGAATCTAAATATAATGTTTTCTATATGTTAATTTAGTATCCAGAATGCAAGCTAGAGTTTAAAAATACTATCCGGGCCCCTAGTTGCACAAAACCACCTATATCGTCTAACAGTATGCTTACGCGAGACTAATATCATACTAGTTTAATGCTATGCATTCAACTAGTATAATAGCATCATGATTTGGCTTTCTTAGATACTTGGAAATTACAGTGAAAACTTCTTACAGTTAACCCCAATTCATATAACATACAAAAATTATCTAAATCTTGTAAATTACAAAAAATAAAAGTTTCTACTTGCTTTTCAAGATTATTATCACTAATATTCAAGAAGATAATGTTCTTGCAAAGTGTGTCAACTAAAGAAATCAATGTGGAGTTCTTGCAAAGTAAATCTGCCAAAACCTTTTTTCTTTCTAATCCAAAATCATTAAAACAAAAATCAAAGAAATCAATATGGTAAATCTGGCCAGAAAGCGAAGAAAAAATGTATTTTTAATACAACAATACCAGTCAAGTGTAATGTCAGAAAATTTTTAGGGTAATGATTTAATTAAGGGATCTGCAAGCTGCAGTACATATGAAATGATATGGTGATCTATATGTTTTGTAAAAAAAATCAGTTTTCACTTCTAAGCTAGCACTTGTATTTTACATTACAAGTGATATTCTTTATTATAATAAAAATTTCATTGTTTTCTATTTTTAAATAATCTATATTTTTTTTCTCTTACGCCAAAAACCTTTGAAGTATCTTATTTTGAAAATGGTGTTTTGAGACTATCGATATGAGATTTGATTGGTTGATGTGACTGATTTACAAAATGTGATAATGTCAAAATTTTTAGGGTAACGATAATGTATCATATATAAAATTATATAATGGTCTATATGTTTTGTAAAAAAAAGATAGTTTTTACTTCTAAGCTAACACTAGTATTTTACAACATAACTGAGAATCTTTATAATAAAAACTTTTTATTATTTCATGTTTTTAATCTATTTATATTTTTTTTTTCTATTATACTGAAAATTTTGAAGTATTTTATTTTGAAAATAGCATTCTAAGACTATCATCAAAATAACATTCAAAATTTGGTCTATAGTTTTTTTTACTTTCATTTGAAAATTTACTTGCTTTATAACGATGATATTTACTTTATACTATTTATAAAAAATATCCAAATATTAATAACCATATATTTAATGTTTAATAATTCTTATATAAATATAGATTAAAATTTTATAAATTTTATAACACATTTAACAATACTGGCTTTAAGATTTAAACCTAACGCTTATAATCTTTCACTTTGTATCAATTCTAATTCTAAATTAATTCTAATAATCATAATAGTTATTTCATATTGTTTATGCAGGATCTATATAAATAAAATTGAAATCATAATTTATAATTTAGTAAACCAATTCTAAGTTAAAAAAATGCAACATATCAAATAGTTTTTGAGAACATTTATATTCTCGAAATCACATTATAGTAAAATTGTATCTCAAAAATTAAGTGCTATTCAATATATTGAATTTAATATTATTTAGTAAAAGTAACAAAAATATACTATATTACCAATATTTTTCTATTTATTAATTCGATTATTTCTCCAATAAGTCTTTACACATAATTTAGTCTATTTATTAGATTCTGTACTAAGTTGCAAAAGGATTTCAGAAAGTTTATCATTAGGAAAAATTTTGTTAGAAAGAATAGGTTCAAGTATTTTTTTCTCTTGTTCAGTAGTTTGTTGTTTATGATGTGGTTTTTTTATATCAACAGTATTTAGTTGAGATGCTTGTTTTTTATTTTTTTTTATTTTAGGTCTGTTTATTTCTTGTAAATTTTGCTATTTATAAGTTGTAACATTACATGCTCGATGGCCTTTTATATTTTGAATTTTAGTTTTGCAAACATCTTGTTTTAAGATTTTATAAAGCCAATTAATACCTTCTTTATAGCATGAAAATAAACATTGAAAACCTGCCTTATAAAGTTCTAAAACATTAAGAAAAAGTTCGTGTAGTGAATCAGATTGAGAAAACATATCTACTAAATTAGATATAAGCTTTCAAAGAGATTCTTTTCAGGATTTTACTATTATTTCTTCTTTAATATAAAGCTTATCACTAATATATTCAAATATTAGCAACTCTAATCGCTTTCTTTCTTCTTATATAGAAGACATTTGTAACTTTACTCTTCATTTGTTAACTGTTTATCACTAATGTTTTGCTTGATGAATTGAACACCAAACCTTTCTAATGCCTTATCAAATCCAAAAAAATGATCTCCATATGTAAGGTTAACTGAACACACATATTGAAGAAGTTTTTGAAAATTAATATCTTTCTTGACATATAACAAAAAAAAAATAACAGATCGAGCATAATTATGTTTTTCTGTCACAGGAAAAAGTGGTGAAAAGGCAGCAAGATTTCTAAATTGCATATTAAAATTGCCTTTCCTAATCCCAATTTTATGACTTAACCAATAAGCACTCCAACAAAAATAACAATACCATACTTTTGCAATTTTATTTGTTCTGTATATAATTCTTGCAATGACTATTCTTGTTTACAAGTATATTAAACAAGTGTACACCCAACTGCAACCCAAATTAGTTCTAATACTCAACAAGTTATAAGGTAATTAATTACTTTTTCTAATTTATCAATATGAAGTACTCCCAATCATGCAGCTAGACCAAAAATACTGTAACCAGAAAAAAGTGTAATTAACATACTGCATATATTCTTTGAAGTATGTTATTGTCCTAACAATATCTAATATATGAATTATTTTCTTTATAAGATATTAAGCACTTAAATAAAGCCTCATCACAGGCAACATCAATATTGTTTGTATTGTTTAATCTGACATCATCAAAGTACATTGCACAGACTTGATGCATATTTGCATCACAGTTAGGATTTTCTCCAGGTTTCAATATAACTACATTAGGAGGTAGTATTTGATATCCAATTGATATATTTTTTTTAATTTCATTAAATATATCATCAATGCCCCAATTATTTAATTTTATTTGTAAAAGTTGAATAAAAATACTTTCATAAAGATCTAATAAATTTTTAGTAAATAAAGACTTGCCAAATAAGGGTTGCATTAAATTATTATTATCATTATCTTTATCTTAAGAAATAATAGTCTGAATTGGGCTTGGAAGACTGAATTGAAAGAATATTCTTATGGTTGCATGAAATGTAACTCGAGAACTATCAAATATATTTCCATATGAAAATGTCTTTTCAGCAAAATCAATATTATCTTAACACAGACATTTCATACATTTTTTTCTCTAATTAACCTATTTTCTGATTTTGATTCAGTTAACCAAATTTTTTTTAATTGGTATTTATAATGTTGACTATGGGAAATAATTTCTGCTGAATAAAGAATCATATATAAAGAAGATATCATTTTCAGTTTACAACTTAATGAACTCAAAATATAATAAAGCCACAAATTTGTAGAAGGTGAAGTAATATTAATAATCATAGAAATAAGAAAAATTGAAGTTTTTATAGTATGTAATTTATCAAAATCAAGAATTGGTAAATTACGACTTGCTCTTTTGTAGTTATTAGCTTTGTGTTTTTTTATATACAGAGTAATAATCAATGATGTAAAAGAAGATGTCAAAAAAGATGGAAATCCACTACAGTATTCTTCTAATAACACTGGTGATTCAAGTTTCGATTTGTTTTGACGAATAAAAGATATGATTTCTAAATTGTATTTCCTAATTGTTCGTCAATTTTTTCTGAATCTTCTGAAGTAAATTCAAAACATTCATCAGAATGTGTAGAAAAATCTACATGCCTAATTTTAAATATTGTCTTAAGAAGAAAAGGATTTACAGGCTTTATAGGATATTGTGTTTCTTTGTTAAACATTACAAGTATTGTTGACAATCATGCTAATAATTTCTTTTTTTTATTTTTATTATCTGTAATGACAGTTTGTAAAATCCAGTTTCCAAAAATTTGAAGTGCCTTAGTAATATTATTTGTATGATTTACTTTACAAGTAAAACTATAATTTTTTCCTTATTCTATATGTTCATAAAAATGACTATTCTGCTTATTAAAACATTAAAAACATATATATCAAGTTCAATGCCCATATCTGACTTTTTGAGAATCATATTCAAAATGTTTTTCACTTTAAAAACAGGACAAACTTTAAGACCAGAGCAGGGCATTTGCATATTTCTGTCAACTACACATACTGTATATTATATTTCTTTACAACTAAAAAAAGTTTTAAATTTGCTGCAAAAAAGACAATACTTGATGTGAATTCAACTTTTTTCAATTGAACATTCTTTTTTAAGACATAGTATATGAAGTTTGGCAGCATCATAGGAAAAATGAGATAAACAAACCTCCAAGCTATGCAGTTGATTGTTACTTTTAGCTTTTTTAAATGTATCTTTGTCTATTTCCTATATGCCAATAAGTTGTCTAAGAGGATGTTAGTTTAGTGCTATATTACTGCATTGCTTCAATTAACCATTAATAAAATCTAAAATAACACAAGACAATAGATGTGTGTTACTGCTATTAAGATTTTCCAATATTATACTTTCATTATATAGCAATGTCAATGTTGATTCTAACTTTATTGAGAATATCGAATCTACTTTGAACTCTTTATTTTCACAGAAGGTATCATAATAAATTTCTTCATTTTTAGCAAAAATTCTGGCTCTTTTGAAGCTCATTTTATCCAAAATAAATATATCAATATTATCAGAATCACAATTATTGCTTCTATTATAACTTCCAGACATGTAACTCATAGTTTCATCACCAAGTATATCATCATCATTTATATTTTTGTATCCAAACTCACTGCTATTAATGAATTTATTAAAAAAAAGTGAATTTTTCAAATTTAGATCCTTATTTGTTGAAGATTCTGGTATAGTAGTTGTCATTATGCTATATAAGATCATGTCTGGTATAAGTTTTAAAAATATAAAGTACCAGTATATAAATAGCAAAAAAGACTTAACATTAATGAATTATAACAATATTTATTATTATCATTATTATTATCATTATAAGATTTTTAGAATTATTAATGCTGAAAAATTTGGGCTTATTGTTATGAGTAAAAAAAAAAACACCTCAAAATATAAATATTGATATAGTGATAGGATCATATTGATATTACTAAAAAATGGTGTAAGAAACTTGATATGTTAATATATATAAGAAGGCTACATCAAATTACTTAACAGATGTGTACATATTAATATATACAAACTTAGCAAAAACCTTTGTATTGGTATGTTAATATTTAATATTATAAATAAATTAAGAATGTTTTTGTACTTTGAATGAATCTAAATTAAATTGGATCTAGCTTCTTATTGTTATATATCATGCAGCATTTTTAAATATCTGCATTTTACTTCTGATTTTAATGAGAGATTTTTGGTTAAAAATCCTTTCTATTAGTTCTATTAGTGCTATCTTTTTTTAACATTAATCTAAACACACTTTTGTTGCACTAACATGCTTTGGTCAGTTAAAAAAAAGAACAATAAATTTACTGATCTGCTTTGATCAGTTGAAAAAAAAAACAATCAATTTACTAATCCTTTATTTTTTTTTATCATTATACCACTATTTTGATTATTTTTTACTTTAAAAAACAATTATAATTATTATTATTATTATAATGATAATGATAATAATAATGATAACAATTGATTACAAATACGAAATTGATAATATCGATATCATGATCATGATTATTCAAATAATCATCTAACATTAATGCTATTATTGATTAGAGTTAGGGTTGCACCCAAACTTACTAGTTTGAAATTATGTTTGTCATTTTCAATCCAGATTTCATGTTGATATCAATATTGATATTGATATGTAATAGTAACAATAATGATAATGATAATGATAACACAAAATCAATTTAGCACTAATTAGTAGAAGTGTTAGCATTAGCGTTAGTCCTAATCATCTGATCAGAACCTTACATTTATTCTTCAAGACACAATTTTCATTTTCATAATGCTAACACTAACCATGACTGATATTAATATTTCTAAAATCAATCCTATATTGGCAGCCTTCTGATAATATTTGAATACTTTCTATTATCTTTGTCAATTCTAATTTCTTTTTCATAACAATAACTAATATTATCTATTTCTTCAACAAGGCAACATTAGCAGTTTTCCAATAACATTCAAATGCTTATCATTACACTTGTCTTTCTTCATTTTAATTCAGCAACAAATAACAATCACCAAAATTATATGTTCTATTGGCATCATTCTATTAGCTGTTTTTTTAAAAAAAATTCAAATGAATCCTATCGTTATTTATTCTTATAACTTAATTTTATTTGAATAACAATATCTAGCATTTAATAATCTACTAGCATCTCTATTATTAATTAATTTTTGATAATATTTGAATGCTTTGTTCTTATCCTTTTTGACTTTAGTTTATTCTTAATAACAATATCTAATGTTGTATATCTAATTCATATTTCTCATCTTTGTTGAACTTTTGAATACCTTTCTATATCTTTTCAACTTCACTTCTATTTATATAACAGTTATCAAATACAAATATTCAAAAGATTCTTTAAAAATATTTGACTGCTTTCGTTTATATTTATTGACCTCAATTATATTCTGATAATGATATCTTACTTGACACAATCTTCGAGTATAACTCATACTAGCAGATTAGTAATAATGTTTAAAATCCTTAAGTTAGTTCTTATTAAAACCAATTCTTGAGTTTGATACTAATAATTGAAAACAGAAGATATATTTAAGTTTTAATTAAGAATTCAAATCAATTAAAAATGAGTGATGCCAAGTAAAAACCTAAAAATGTTATAACAATAAGAAATTTGGTTTTCATTTGGCATCACTCAAATCCCACTTTCTAGACCCAAACTATAGTAATTCAAAAAAGTGAGTTGGACTGTAACTCTAGTTAGAGTTGTGTTTACATGCTCACATAAACCAATGAGCCTATAAGGTTGCTTTCTTGGAAATACTATAATGATAATGATAAAACTTTGAATTTAAAATTGTAGTGAGTTTGATCTTAACATTAATGTTAACATTTGTAAATTAGTTACATGTCGCATCAGCCAATCAAATTTTGAGTGTAATTTCATTGATAGTCTCAAAATGCTGTTTTTAAAATAAGATACTTCAAAGGTTTTCAATATAATAGAAAAAAAAATTAAATAAATTAAAAATATGAAATAATAAAATATTTTTATTATTATAAAGATTGTTAGTTATATTGTAATATTTCAGTGTTAGCTTAGAAGTGAAAACTATTTTTTTTTTTTTTTTAATATTAACAGTAAGGCCATATCTTTAACTTTATTGAAATTCAATTGAAGTTTTTACAAAGAAAAGCTCGCTTTTAAATTACATATGAAGAATAAAGACTCAGACATATAATCTGCGACCTAAACCTACAAGAGTGGCCAAGGCTC